GTGAAGTGTACAAGAGCTGTTTGTGCGGGGCACCCACAGTTTGTCTGTGGGCAGAAATGCTTTCTCTGTAGGTGGAAACATGTGTTTTTCAACTACATGTTCTTTTGTTTCTCCTCTTCCCCCTCCCCCCAAAGTGACATCCACCTCTGCGTTTTTCCCTTAGTGTAGGATGTGTGGGACCATACTTCTTTTACAGTTCTCTTGTGTGTTGGCTTACCAAATCCTCAGCTTGTACAAACTGGCATAATTCCACTGAAACTGATAGAAGTAAGTTGACTCCTAAACCAGCAGAGAATCTGAATTCATTAGGTAGCAGATCATGATCCACATGAACTTCTGGAACAAGCTACTGCAATTGTTTTGGGGACATACAGAGATATTCCTGGAGCATCTACAAAGATTTCTTTTAAGACTTTCTGTAAGCCACAGCTGGATGCTGTCTTTAAAGTAATATAGGGTTTTTTTTTTCTCCTGTTGTCTCCTACAGTAATATTCTGAATACCTCTCAAAGTTCCTTTAGTTTTGTTATCCTTGTAGCAGTTTGTGGCCTCCCTGAAGTCTGTTCACTGTCCCTGTCTGTGGGAGAACCTAATTTCATCATGATGTCTGTCAGTGTGGTAACCAGCAGCGTACTGGTACTGGGTAAACTGGATGGCAGTTAAATCTCAATCTATTGTCATGAACTCTAGGCTTATTATGGCTCATTGTTTTGAGGCAAGCACAGTAATTAGCACAGGGTGTACTCTATGATAATTAGGAATGTTTTACACATCAGATGGTGATGTTGACTTTTGAGGGCAACCACCTGGACTCAACTCTTACTAGCTAAAACAAATATTTTTGTATTTCTTTTTGTTTCAGTGTTTCAAAATGCCTGTGGTAAATTACTTTAACTGTTTAATGACTCAGTAATAGATCCATGTAATCAATTAGCTGAATAGTATGATCACTGGGACAAGTTGCTGATACCCAGAGGTGACACTGTAGCTGAGATACACAGTTTGTGTATTTTAATTTCTCTTGAGTGCAAGGTGAAACTTCTACTATCTTGAAAGCCAGGTGCATGTTGCTTTCCAGCTTTCTCTCCTCTTTACCTGACCTGGTATTTGAACCTTCTGAACCCTGGTATCATAGATTTGTGGTGTCTGGTCCATTTTTGACTTGTTATTCATCATAAAGATGTAGTGTGACATTCTTAGTGGAGAAAATAATGACTATTAAAAGAAATCCACTAAAAACCTCACGGAACAAAACATGACCCAGAAATTTATATCATCAGGTCTCATTATAATCTCTTTGCAAACTTGTTAGATTAAAGCAGATTTGTTAAAACATCAAAAAATTTAGGGCCTTGAAAGCAGCTGTAGTTCATGAAATAAATTCAGGAAAGATCAGAATATGTACCACAGACCTACATTCTGTCTGATAGTTAATGCAGAATTTGGGGGCTTACTTCTGATTTACTGTGAAATATGGACAGTTTCTATTCTAACTCATGGCTTGTGTGGATTAATTTCTGTACCTGAAGCTTTCCCCAAATTTCTTATGTTAGTTCACATCCAAACTGAGGGGAGGATATTTTCATTTCTAGTGGCAATGAGAAGGCAGTCTCATAAGAAGATGTAAAAGCTGGGCATTTCTGTCAATTTTCATAAGAATTATATTTGAAAGCTGTGCAATTTGAAGACTTGCCCTGTTTCCTCCTCAGATCAATAATTGCTAAACTCAAACATAAACCTTCCCTTAGGTGCATTTGTCAGACATATTTGTATTCAGTGTGAGATTACTGGATGTTATGAAGTGAAGGCTCTACCACAGACATGGAAATACTGAGCTTGTAAATACCCTTTAGGTGCAGACAGCACAAAAAGTTAATCATTATGCTTCTGCTGCCTCTTTTGCAGTTTATACTCCTAAGGTAATGTGGGGGACATGCAGTACAATGGAAAGTTAAATTTTTTAAAATTAAATCATGGTAGGTTACTGCTTGCATTCCAAGTTCATTCCCACTACTACGTGTGAATATGTAATTTCTGACACTGATTTTCAAAACATTAGTGATTTGGGTGGGGGGGAACAAGGAGCTATATTTTGAAAAAAAATCTCTTAAGTTCAAAAAATTGCAAGTGTTGCATTTCAAGAGGATGAAATAATCTATTTTAAACTAGGAAGGAATTTGTGGACACTGTATCTATGGAATAATGTCAGATAAATTTAAATGTGTTAACTGTGTGGTGCCATTACAAATGCTTTTTTTGGCTGAAAAGGATCAGTGATTACTTGTAAAATAAAGACATTAAATTATTTCAGTTAGGCCTGGCTGGGCTCTTTGGAATGTGGTCTAAGTTTCTGGCACATGAACTTAAGGAGGATGTATGGGAATTAAAAAAAAAAAGTTCAAACAAAATCATACAAAACTGAAATAAAAGAGAAGGCAAGATGTAAAAATTATTCTGTAGTGAGTGTCACCATGCAAGTGCTTGGAAAAATAACTGATTACCATTGTAACCCTGGTAAGTAAAAAAGATATGCATTAATAGGAAAAAAAACCGTGGTTGGCAAGAAAAAGTGGTATTTACATGAGGTAAAAGTCAGGATTGCAAGAGCCTTTTTTTTTTTCCAGAAAGACATGGTTGGAGTCTAAAATTGTCTAGATACTGCTTCCATTTCAACTATAAATGACTTCTGTACTTAACTCTTTAACTTACTGTATCACTTCACCATCTGTAAAGCAAGAGATGTTAGTGCGGTGGTGTCAGCTGTGCCAAAAAGCAAGTCTATCATATTCATCCTGCCATGGTCCTGAATATCACAGACTATTTCTATCACAGAAACTCTTTGACTTGTAGTTTTAGAGATAAAACCTTTCTGTACTTGCTAAGGAGAAATTATAGAACTAATACAGAAGCTGTTGGTCTGGATATTTAAAATCATCTTACGCCAGAAGCCAAGGAGAAAAGAATGAACTTAGAGGTAATTAAAAAACCCAACAATTCCAAACTTCATAACAAGCCCTTAGTACCACCTCTGCTGTCCTCAGACATGGTGATCTGCACACTGGGGAACAGCAACTGATCTCACATGGATGGGAAGTGCATTCCCTCTCCTCTTCTTCCGTTGCTGTAAAAGCAGTGCTCCTATTATGTCAAGGTCCATCGCATTTACTGCAACTTTGATATGCTTGACCTAAAAATATTGCTGGGAGTGAATTATTTACAATGGCACTGAGGAGCAATTTTTTAGAATGTTTCTATGGCCTGTGGGCATTGTACTGAGTACATATGTATGATATTAACAAAAAACATGAAAATTACTATGAAACCTTTCCACAGTATATCACAGTTATCATCACCAAATTGGGGTTGTTCTGTGGCTTTACAGCATAAGGAAACATATGTGCAAGCCAGCATTTCTTGTGGGTGTGGAATAATAGTGTCATTTTCCAATGAATATTATTAAATAACTAGTCTGCAGAGGTTGATTTCAAGCTGTATGAAGTACTATATATCTGTGCACTAAGGAGTCATTTTTCAATTTCTATATGAAAACATGGTGAAACTCAAGTCACTGATAGATTCCCATTCCAGGCACCATTAAAAAGACAACTTCTGAAGATTCTCCTCTTCAGAAACCAGTAAAACCTTGCAGTCCAGGTAGAAATATTTGTTTTATATTTGTAATGAGAGTGGTCTATCTGTGCCTAGGTCAATGCTGGCTGAGGTTCCTGCAGCCTGGCCTAGTAGGGTATGAATAGCTGTTCTTCCATTAGCAAGTGTATGGAACAAAATGATGATTGAAAGCAAGAGATGTGTTTTTTGAGGTAAAGTATTGCCTTAGAAAAGGATGTAACTTTCTTTTTCTTGCAGTCTGTCCCTCCTCAATGTTAATCATTGAGGCATTATCAGTTTGTAGACAAAACATATATACAGAAACCACTCATGTTCCAGGACATTCTTTCCAGTGATGAGAAATTCCAGATTCTTCTGTTTTGCTAAGTATTTTCTCTATTAAAAACACATAACACATCTATAACTAGCATTAATAAGTGTTTTGCAAAATTAAGAACTGGTTTTTAAGTTTCAGTAAAGAACTTTGTTTTGTACCAATAACATACTAACTACAGCTTAATTTGAAATTTTCTCCTTCTAGACAGAACATATACCTCTGAGTCTTGCTTTTAATATGATCTTTATCTCCCTGCAGTATTTAAGTCTGTAGTAATTCAAATTCCCATTTTTGTAGAAATGGGTAAACCTAAAGATACAGGCTTATCTCTGAATAGCGTTGCTGAGAAATCATTTATCCATGCCAAATCTTCCTTTTAATACTTTACTCTTCAGTCTCTGACCATGATATTATTCAGTGAGCAACAGACCATGTGGGGGGCTCTCTAGTAAATACCGGAATGAAAAGAGATAATTTTCCCAAATGCCAATTTTAAATAATGTCCAAATAATTTCAGGATTTATTTTGTTAGTGTGGTTGTTTCTTGAGGAACTGTGGGGTGAGGCATGGGGAGTGGTCTATAAATACTAGTTGCACATGTGACAGAGGACTGATCTCTTTCATGATTGAAATACATTTCTACCATTTAATTAGACTGATAACAGTTAAAGAAGTGACTATAGATGTATTGTCCCATGATAGCCTTGACACTTTTATGGTGTTCAGTTCCTACTGTGAAACATGGATAAACCAAGCAAGCTCAATACAAAAGATAACTTGTGTGACTGATGTGCTGAGGAAACATTGTAAACAATCAGATTGAAGTACTGTTTATAAGCACTCCCATAATAAGAAGAATTATATGAGTGATATGATGATATACTGTGAGTTTTCCTGATTTTTTTAAGCAATTCCTGTTGCAGAGTACTTGAGTTGCACTGAGTCTAAAGGCTGAACTTACCTTGGATGATTGTGTGAAGTGAGAAATGTAGACTGGTCCTTTTGTGTGTCTGACCAGGTTAATAAAGGGTTATAAAGAAATAAGGACACAACTGTGAGCTTATTTACATTTTATTTTCTTATTGCAAAACTCAGAGCGTGACATAGGTACTCGGTTTACAATTCAACAACTTTACAATTTAACTCTTTTCCATTATTATTTCTGGATATACATTTCTCTGCCATCTTTCAGATCCCCAAAAATAGCAAATGCAATAGTATTTGTGTTCTTAAAATCAGTTTCATGTAAAATTAATTAATATTTTTTGACATAACGTTTTTATCCGTAACTCTTAAATCCCATTTGTTCCCAGCTGTATATGTCATGACAAGTATAGAATAAACTTTTGAACTCTTCAACAATGCCCAGTTAAATGACAACTAAATATTCTTTTCTCTTATGTTAGAGGCCTTAGGAGTGGATATACTGAGTGTCCTGTCCTGTTATTTTTTCTGCACACATACTAAATAAGAACTTTCACATTTTCAGTGGCACTGGACCTGGTGAGGACAATACCCAAGAAAAACACAGTGGGTTTTCTTTTCCAGTCAGCTAAGTTAAATGCACTCAAAACCAAACAAGCAAAAACTGGACACCCCCAACTATTTTTCTGAGCAGAAAACTGTAGCTTAAAAGAAGTGTTTGCTTCTCACTATTGCCTTCAGAGCTGCTACTCCTCTCAACGGCAACTGTACAATGTGAGGCCACAGTTGCATTCATTGTTCAGTGAGCTTGTCCACATAGTTAAACCCACCGACAGCAATGAATGTTGATTGTGACCTTTTTGTAAAGCTTGGCAGGGTGAGGGAGAAACATCATATGATGGTTAGGTTGCTATCTTCGGTGTTAAGGCCTGAAAGCATGAAGTAAGGAGGAGGATGGTTAGCTGGAGGGTACAATCAACGGTCGATGGTTTTCACTTTAATTCCAAACTCACCGACAGCGTTGAATGTTCACTGAAGCAACCACTACAACAGAACTCCATTGACTTGACTGCATCCTCAAATGTCTGAAAGTAGTGGGGGGGAAAATCAAAATTCACACAGTGATTTTAATCATACAGATGATGCAACTTCAATCATTTTTCTCTTACCGACACCAACACCCTTCTCTGCCCATCATGTTTCAGTCTTTCTGCAAGGAGCTGGTAGTTTCCCAGACTTCTTTCTATGAAAAGAAAATATGTTTCAGTTATTCAGGCTTTAAAAATAAAGGTTAGAGATCCAGGCACGAGTTAATGTCTATTATTTCACAAGACTGAACTTCACAGTAAAACAAAACATGAGATCTCATAAATGAACAGAGCTGGCTAAGAGTTTTAAAAATTAGCGTTGCCAATTAGAGATTGCTCTACTGAGCAAAATTTCTTCTATTGACATGGTTCAATTGGATTAAAGCTTGTTTAGGATTGGTGAAAAATACATTTTCTTTAAAGAAGGCTTAATTTTTCAAAAAACATCTGAGACAGAAGGCCTTTATTTCCTTACAAATTTTCACACATGCAGAACCCGTTGTGATAGTTTTCAGGAGGAAAAAATGTCCGTGTATATCAAGGCTTGACCTCTATTTATTTTCTTTTTTTTTTTGTGTCAGCATGCTGTGCACATCCAGCTGATCATCACACAGTGAAGTCCCTATTATTAAAAAATTTTCACAGTAACACAGCACTTTTTCCTAGTTGTCTGCACTTTCCAACTCAATTTTCCTAATTATTAATAAAAATAAATAATAATTTTGTAAAATTTTTTATTTAGTTTTTATTTTGTAGAAGAGTTTTAGAAGCTGGATATGAAGGCAAAACATGGTAATCCAGAAATTTTACCTTATTTTCATTTGTGAGCAGAATTCTTATGCAGAAGGTGTTCTTGAAGCTCAGCTTGTCAGATTTCTGCTAGGTCCACTCTTAACTGTGCTGAAATTAAGTGACTGGTTCATTGACTTATACGAATTGCTGTTTGTTTGTTTACTTTGCCCTTTGGTTAAAGATGCTCGGTACTTTCTCTCTCTCATGCTTCCATCGTTATTTATAAGACTTTATAAATGTTTGGAGTTTTGTCTGTACTTGTGTTAAGGGAGCCCACACTAAAGGACTGGAGTTCATCAGTGTGCTGCCCATGCCCATTTTGTAAACAAACGCTATGACAAGGACTTGGTCCTAACTGTTTTTTTCAAGTAGTTGCTCTGCATGTAGAGGTATTTATTACATCATTTAACTCAACTGTATTTTCCATCTATTAGAACTAAAAGAAAAAGTCATTAATATAGCCTACTGGAAAACCAAACAAGAACAGAATCAACTCATTTTCTTCTTTATGGTAGATTAGATGTGTTATGAAGGCCACTGTGATTATGAATTTAGATAAATATTTTAATTAAATATGGCAGCCCAACTTTCTTTCCTAATACAGCAGCACAGTATATTTGCTGCCAATACTTTAGCTTTGATTATTTTTATTTTTCCATCTATTTGTACTGAAATTTCAAAGATTTGATTCCATGGATGTTGGGAGAATACCTCTGCACACTAGCATAAGTGATGAAAGAATAAGGCTCTCCAGCTCAGTCTTATGTGTATTTTCATTTGTTTAAGGTCTGCCCTGTTACAAGCTTGTTCTCTGTATGTCGTTTCTTTCAGTACTCATTCCTATGCCCTTATTGCCTGCTTCCATCTGTCACTTCATATTTCTATATGGGGGCTTGCCTGGTTGATATATGGCAATTGGGATGGGGTGCAGGGGAAGGAGACGAGCTGTGTAGAGCTTGTGGCCAGGTGGATTACATTTTAGAAGGAATTACTTTCACAGGTTGTTATTAATGCTTCCCCACCCCCTATCATAGAAAACCTCAGTATTTTCTTGGTCACCTAGCCTCTGAAATGGGCTGAAACTTCTAAGTACAAAAGGTATTTCTGGGTTCTAGCCCTGATTCATGATGTGTGCAGGTTATGCAGGGTAAATATGCTTTCATCTTCTTTCATCTGGTTTTATTTTTTTAAAAATCCCTTACCAGGCTTAGCTAGCTATTACAAATGCCAGGTTTATTTTAAATTTTATTTCAGATCTGCATGCTTATGTGAACATTCAGATTGGATGTATTTTTTTATTTTATTTAAGGTTAGTAGGTCATAAATAAACCAAAGCACTTTCCTTGCTTTGAGCAATAGGGTCATGATGTACATGAAATATCGCTTTAAGAAAACTGGAACCTAATGTGAATTGACAGAGGTACATGAGGAAGTAGTTCATCGTGTCGCTACAAAGGCCATAGGGATTTGGACTGCTAGAGCTGCCTGTCTTAGGAATAGATTAGATATCTTGTCTGATGACCTGTACTTAATTTAAGTGACTGCCTTTGCAAGTCCTTCCAGAGGGCAACTGTGTGAAGTAGAGCATCTCATCTTCAGTCCTTTTCCTCCTCTTGATGGCCTGACCTAAATTGAAGATATGGTTGTTGTGTTGCACAAATAGAAAATTAGTTCAATACCATGTGGACTGCATCTTCAGTTCTAATTAATTACCTTTTCCATTTTGACCTTGCTATGTTGAGTCAAATACCTTCATTCCAACTTCATTGTATGTTAATACCGGGGAGCTGTTATACAGTGCACTCATGTTAACAACTGCCTTATGTAAAACAGACAAAAGCTCCCTCTCTCTGCTTAGAAATGGCAAGTACTACTCTGCCCTGCTTATTGCCCCACCTTTTCCTTTCTTCTCTCTTGCTCACACAAATGCTAGATGAGATATGAAAGATGTTAGCCAGATAGAAGTCTGGCTTGCAGGCCACTTCAAACAGCTGCCTTAGAACTGTCCCCAATCTTATTGCTGGTACAGCAGGGAGATTGCTTAGGTGAACACACAGAACTCAGCCATGGGGCTCTTGTAGCTTTAGGTACTTTTTCTAATGGTGCATTAAAATAGTCTGTTGAGTTTGTATACTGGTTAAAATACCATGTTAACAAATTTATAAGGTAGATACTCCATGTGGTTTGCAGCATCATTTTTCTTCTGCTGACATGGAATTGTTTGTTAATGGAAGGCAGAGTTAAAACTTTCTAAAGCCAAATATTCATTTGTATAAAAGGAAGACAACAGAGCAGTATTCATACTGATACTGCAAAGTTATCTCATGGATGCAGTTGTTGGCTACTTCCACCTCCCACTTGCCCTCTCCCACAGTCTGTCAACAAACTTCCAGTTATACACTTGGGGACAGGAAGAAATGCAATGTGTGGATGTGTTTTTTTAATTGTCTTGCAAAAGTGAATTCCAGTGGCAGAGTCTAAAAATGGCAGTAGCACACTTGGGATCAGATTCACAGCTAGAGTAAACTGACACAGCTCCATTGACGTCAGTGGCATTTGCGTTTACACCAACTGATACCTGGACGCTCATCTGGAAAAACGTGAATTAGAATGATCAGTTATTGGTTCTTATATTTTCAATTTTTTGTGTTGTGTTCATCTTTTTTATTAAACCTTTCTAAAATGACAAATTTTCATGTTGTACTGACATTTTACTTTCAATAAATCAGCAGTAATACTAAATCTCTGTAAGTATTGACACTGCTATGCTTCCACCAAAAGGAATTAAATCCAGTTGACTGTAGTTATTAGAAATTCAATTTGTTCTTAGATGACTTTGAGTTATATGCTGAAAGGAAAAAATCTGTGCACCTATCAAAAGGACAAAATGAAAAGTATTTGTTTCTTCTATGATCTAAAAAGCTGCAAGAACAGAATCAAATAACAATCACTGTAATCTAAGACTCAGTGTACTCTACAGATACTAACTGCAGTTGTTTCTGCAGCGTGTTGGAATGTAGCAGCAGCTCCTAATTACTGATGCAGTAAATCTAAGGCTAATGTTTTTCAAGAAATCCAACCACACAATCACCATGTTTTCATGTTCCCTTAGACCTATGGAAACATCTCTGTTAACCTCTGCTGGGAAAAAAAAAAAAAAAAAAAGTTTGATGGAGTATTTCACCATTTACTGGAGTACAGCCATCTCTGGGGAAAAGTAGCAGCTGCATAACATCTTGAAGCACTAGTGCATGCCAGCCTGAGACAGGAGCAAAAAACTGTGATTGCCTTGTTTAAATTCTGCATTCTACAAAGTTGCTTTTTTGTACAATCCTGGTTCTTGCTCATGGAATAGGAGGGCAGAAAACCAGAAAACACTTTAAAGTGAAATATTGTCCACAAAACTGGTTATAAAACTAAATCAGAACTTGTTTGACATGCATAGCCATCACAGAGTGATCTGAAGTTCACTCAGAACTTTTATCAGAGTTCTGATGGCCTAGAAACTGTGACATCTCCAAACATGTTGCTTCATACATTTGTAGGCTTTGACTAAGTTTTTGAGTAAGTTTGCTGTCCAAAAACTGACTGTGCTCTTGAAATTAAACCCATCAGCTAATATTACATGTTTACAACACAGGCTGTGAGGTGGGATACTGATTAGCCAAGCTAATTTAGGAACAGAACAAATGTGAGGAGCAGCAGTGATATTAGCTCAATCAAATATTTGATTGCGCTTCCAGAAATAATTTAATTGCAGAGCTCAAAACTATGCTTTGCCCATTAGAATTTTACCTGATTAGTATTTTGTTATATCTTGATACTAAAGAAACTTCCAAGCCCAAATTTAATGTGAAAGTACACACAGTAATATTGGCTTTTTGCTTACTTTAGCAAAAGTTTAACTTGCTGTGTTTCAATCTATATAAATTGTTACTCTTATTTAACAAATCATAGTTGCACTCATATTCTAAACAGACTTTTATATCTGCTCTTTTGAGTCTGACTGCAATTTATTACTTTGTGTCGTTGGTCCTGTTTGAAATTGCAAGTACTTTTCCAGCGTATGGGATTAAGGCCGTCGCTCTATGAGATCTGCTTTTTATTTAAAGCCAAGAAATTGGTAAATAAATTCTAACACTGCCTGAAATTTCCAAGTCTTTTGGATCACAATTCTTCACTCTTTGTTACTGGAACACATTACTATTTATGGAAGATATGCACATATTTCGGTGTCCATAAATCATATGCAAACATCTGTTCTTCAGATCAGTAGATGGAGTATGGTAACTAGTTCTTACATTAATATCCATGAAGTAACTCTCACCTATTGATGTTATACTTTAATATTTTAGCAAATATTTCAGTAATTCAACTTTTCAAGACAATGTTAGTCAAAACAGTAGAAATTGCATGCATAGTTAAGCATAGAGTTAGTTCTGTGTGGCCTGTACCTGAAAAATGCCAAGTGAAAGTTGTAAGATAGAGGGTAAATATTCATAGCAACAGGATCAACCTGGCTAAAACACAAAAGGTTCTATTAGTAATTCTCTCTGCACTCATTGCTGCCTTTGAGAGAATTTATTTCCCTCCCCCTTCCTGTGTTGCAGCTTTAAACAGGCATCCTTTTCTTATTTGATGAATCTGGACTGTGTGTACTGGTCTACATTTTTGTCTTAGTAGTATGATCTATTTCCCACATGATTCTGCAGGCAAGGTTCTAAGGCCAATAATTGTGTAGCTGTGCTCTGAAAACATATGGTGTGTGCGGAAACTGGGGCTGTGTACAAGGCAAAATGTAAAAGGTGGGAAAGACAATATTGTAGGATAGGATGGACACAGGATGGAAAGGCAGAGGATGAGTTTTTGTATTCTGTCTTCAATCTCACTGTCAGGATTTTTGGATAAAGAGATTTCAGTTGTAAAGAGAAGAATCTTCAGCATCTATCCTGTTTAGCATTTATGTCAAGCCTTTATTTGGTTGTAATACGTACCGTGTGTACATTGATTGTTTTTCAACATCTTTGTGTTTGTGTTCTTTTTCAAGAACAGAGCCTTGATGCTTTGAGACTAAAGATATAAATGTCAGCATAGTTGAATTTTCATAG